CAGGGGATGAGAGAACCCCACAAACCAGCCAGGACTGGGGCCCCTGTAGCCCCAACCCTGAACACTGCCTTTGTACCCACCTCAGGAATGACAGGTGGAGACCTCTCTAGGCCTCTAGCTCAGCAGAGACTGGCATCCCCTGCTGACAAGGACAGGCGGCCTTGTCCTTGGCCGCTATTCCAAAGTGCTGTTTGAAAATGGTACCGAGCACACACACTGGAAGGAAGGCCACGTTCGGAAAGATGGAAACTGTCTCGAGCTGTGAACGGCTGCGGTGGGGAGGGATGCACTAAAGGCCTAATTGGCAGCAGGACGTTACGTGAATGCAGGACTCACGTTCCTGTGATTACCAAGGGGCTGGTTTTCTGGTCAGCAAAGGCAGCTGTTTCGAGCTCCATCCACTCCGCATGCTCCCAGCCCCAGGAGGCTCATGGCTTATCTGAGTCTCAGGGACTTTCTAGGAGCTGTGCCCTGCTGCTGCAGGTTACATAATCTCTGGGTGCCTCCCTTAGCCACCAGAGCAAAGCCTGCAGCCGGCCCAGACCCTCAAGGCCTCACTGCAACAGCGGGTTCTGTCTTCTGTGTGCTCCAGAGAGGCTGAGAAGCGAAGGCTCAACCAAGAGGTGGGTGACCCGGCAGGAATGTGTCGCTGGCAGTGGTGGAATCTGGTTGCCATGGGGATGCAAGGTTTTCTGCTCAAGCTGTTTGCAAAGCAAATTTTCCATTGTGTACAGGTAAACACACTGCAGCATCCCCCTAGTATTTAAATTCCTTTTTTCAAGGGGCATATAGAATGGGCATATAGACAGGGCTACTTTTCCAGGAGCACCTGGGGCTCCCAGGTCAATAGCCCCGATATTCAGCAAATCACCCCAGCCCTGGCCTTTCTCTCCTTTATTTCAGTTCAGGAACAATGTTTGGAGCCCCTTAGATGTGAGTGTGGCGGGGGCGGGGTGTGTAAAATGCACACGATGTAAAGATTACCACTTTAACCATTCGTCAGGATACAATTCAGTGGTATTCAATGCGTCCAGAATTGCACAACCATCACCACCATCTTCTCCAGAACTTTATCAGGCCAAGTAGAAACTGTGTCCATTAAATACTAACTCCCCTGTCCTCTTGCCCTGCCCAGCCCTTGATGACATCTATTACACTTCCTGTCTGTAAGAAGTCACCCAATCTAGGTATGTAAGTGAAATCATGTGTTTTTTCACGTCTGGCTTATTTCACTTGGCATAACTGTGTCCGAGATTCATCCACGTTGTAGCATGGGTGAATATTTCACAGAGACTGAGCAATATTGCATGGATTTTCCACATTTGGCTACACATAAATCTGTTGACTGATATTTGTGTTGCTTCCAGCTCTGGGCTGTGTGACTGCTGCGGCTGCTGTGAACAGAGGTTGTACAGTGTCTGAGTCCCTGCTTTCTACTCTCTCGGATATACAGACCCAGGCATAGAATTGCTGGATCCAATAGTAATACTATGTTTAACTTTTTGAAGAGTTGCCAAACTGTTTTCCAAGCAAGTCCCCCTGGGTTTTTTATTAATGTGCTTCTTAGAGCAGATGAGGATTGTTTCCTAATGGAATTGGCAATCAGCAGAATTCTGTCTATTTTTATAATTCCCTCATAGCCACTCACCTACTTCTCCCTAAGGCTTTCTGCAGGTTTTCTTGGTTCAGTTTCCTTCTATTGACTTGGTTAGAGATTGAAGTATCTGGGGATAGCACTGAAGTGATTAATAATCAATTGATCAATTGATTGAAAGACCTACACGATCACGGGGTCTTCCAAACTCCCTTGAGCCACCCCACGGATCTGACAATAACTGCCTTCCACTCCTGACTCACATGGGGACTTGATTACCCTGTCTCCTGTCAGGCCACCTCAGGAGCAGCAGCAGCTTTTCCAGACCCCACAGTCCCTCACTGAGCTCCTCCTCACAACTGCCATGGCCACAGAAGTCTATCGCCTAGTCTTGAGATTTTTGGTGTGTGTGTTTGTTTTGGTGACACCAAGGATTGAACTCGGTTCTCTGCACTGCCAAGTTGTCCAACCTGAGCTTGAACTTGTGGTCCTCCAGCCTCAGCCTCCCAGAGTGCAGGGATTACAGGTGTAATGCTGGATTATTCTGCTATTTCTAATGTTTTGTCTTCTTGGAGGAAGTTCACACACACACACACACACACACACACACACACGATCTGGCACAAGACTAAGATCACAGAACTTGGTCCATAAGAGTACACTGGCTTATGACTCTGGTTGTAGTCCTGGGCAAAGTCTGCTTGTGATCCCTGAGGTAAAGGAAGCCTACAGGGAGAGGAAGGGGCCATTCCAGAGCATCCCACTGCTACAGTTTGCTTGCGTTTCTTTCCCAAATATTTTTATTGTGACTGTAATACAGAGTCAAATTCACAGGCGCTGGAGATGAAGCTCAGTGGTAGAAGGACTGCCTAACATGAGTTCAAGCCCCAACATGGAAGGAAAGAAGAAAGGGAGGAAGAAAACTGAACAGCTTGAAGAATAACCATAAAGCAAACATCCTGGTTGACACCTGCAGATTAAGAAGCAGAACCCTGCCAGAACTCTCCATCTCCCCTGAGAAGCCTTGGCCAATTCTGACTCCTTCCGTCCCCCTGGACAAGTCCTACTCTGAATTTTTAATCTTTTCTTGATTTTTGTTTTACCATATTTTTAGGTATGCATGCAAAAGTTGTTTCAGATTGCTTTTTTTTTTTTCTTTTGGTACTGGGGATCGAACTCAGAACCTTGCACTTGAGCGGCAGGTGTGGTGCCACTGAGCTAAATCCCCAGCCCTCATATTGCTCATTTTTTAAATTTCACATGAATAAAATGCTGCTGCTTATACTCTTTTTGGATTTGCTTTGTCCACTCAGCCCTCTGAGAGTCACATCCGTGTCGTCACACCAACCTATACAGTAGCTCATCCCTGCAGGTGGATTCCACTGTACAGATAGATGCAACTCAGAGAGGGCTGCAATAAATGTGGACGGCATGGGTTGCCTCCACTTTGGGGCTATTAGGAGAAACACTCCCTCACCCCCTTACAGCACATGCCTAGGAGTGGGCTGCTGGTTGCATCTGTCTGCTCGCTCTCCTAGTGAATGTCAGCTGCTTCCTCAGCAGTGTGTCACTGCCGCCCCCTGCCCCCCATGAGAAATCACCTGCTGCACCCTGCTCTACAACACTCAAGGGACAGCCACCTGTCCACTCTACTAGACCTAAAAACATTCCATGTCCAGGGACACCTCCAAGCCCTGGGGCCCTAGCAGATCCTTCCACAGCAGCCCCAGCCCCAGTCTCAGGGTGGCCAGGGAGGACCAGGGGACAGGTTGCCTTAACCCTGAAAATGAACTCCAGCTACAGGCCCAGCCAGGTCATGAAGTGTACATCAAAGGTATAGGATGCTGTGACTGAGTTTAAGTGGAGCCCGGGTGTCCCCTATGCTCTCTGCTCCCTGTGGAGCTGTCCGACTGCATGCCCCGGGCTTGGTAGCCTCAGCATGACCAAGGCCAGGGGTCAGAATCACCTTGGCCCTGCCAGAAGTGCCCGCTTCTGCTCCAGAATGTCCTCCCCAGGACCAGAGCAGAGAGGTTGTGCTAGAATCAAGCAAAGGAACAAATATAAAATTCATCATTGCCTTCCCTTTGAAGTCATATAACTTCTTATACATTTCAAGCCATACAGGTATACACCCAAAAAAATCTCTTTCAAATTCTACCACCTAGAAATAACCATCATAAACATTTGGTTAGTATCACTCCAGATTTCTCTCAGTGCAAAAATAAAGATGGAAGGAGGAATGGATAGGTTGATTGCATGGGTGGATGGACCCACAGGTTATATATACAATTCTAGAAAAGTTCTACTACATGTGTCATTTTAAGATAAAAATGTACTTCTCTTTAAAAACTAATACTTGCTGCGTTCTTCCTTTAGTTACAGGGGTAAAACATTCTTTATGCAAAAACCTGGAGGTCACAGACTACAGGGACAAAATTTTCTATCCATATTCTACCAATAGCAGATTACTATTAATGTATCTTTGCACATGTGTGCATGCATAGGAGATAGACTGAAGTGTGTGCCAAAATTCATATATTGAAGCCCTAATATCCAATATGATTATACTTGAAGATAGGACCTTTACTAAAGTAATTTAAGTGAAATGAAGTCACAGGCCCTAATTCAGTTGGACCAGTGTCCTTACTAGAAGATACCAGAGTTTTCCATCTCTGCCCTTGTGCACACAGGAAAGGCCAGGTGAGGACACAGTGTGAAGGTGGCCATCTAGTAACCAGGAAGGGAACCCCCAACAGAAGCCAACCACGCCTGCAATCAGATCTCAGCATCCCAAGTGGAACAAAATAAAAGTCTATTGTTTAAGCCACTCCTCTGAATTATTTTGTTATGGTGGCCGTCATAGACACTTTCCAGGGATGGGGCAAAATACTCAATATCCACAATTTAAAGAGGAGGTTTATTCTCATGGCTTCATTCCATGGTAGGCAGGCTTTAAGACAATGCCCAATCATAGCGATAAGCAATATATAAAGCTGCATGGCTCCAGCTACCCACAAGATCCATGATATAATTTTTAAATAGCAAGTAATACTGTAACTAGAATTTTATCACCAGGGCAGTAAATGATACCAACAGCCCTCAGTGAGGCTGGTCTCACAGACAACATCAGCAGCTCAGCACAAACTCTCAGAACACAGCCATTCCAGGCTGACAATATGGTGACTCAACCCAAGCACTCCAACCAGGCCCTGGCCTAGCCTTGCACAGAATTCCTCTCCTCTTCCTCCTCCTCCTCTCTCTTCTCCGACACAGGCCACGTAGACCCCACTCGCTGGACATACGGGTAGCCCTCCATATCCATGGTTCAGCCAACTGGATTGAAAGTATAGGGAGGGGATCCAGAAGTTTCCAAAGAGCAAAACTTAAATTCGCCACTTACCAAGCACCACGTGGAATCCATGTGAATGAAATCATGCGTAGACAAAAAGGCTGCAGACTCCCCATTCCGCAGATCCTCAGCCTTGCTCCGGTACTCTTGCTTTGAGCACTGTTCACCCTGAGTGTCATGTGTGAATGATAGGCTTTCAATGGCAGTGTCTGTAACACTTACAGACCCTTTTTCCTCATTATCCCCTCAAAAATACAGTGTAGCAACTACTTATATAACATTTACATTGAGCTAGGTATCACAAGGAAACTAGAGATGATCTAAAAAATACAGAAATACGTGTGTGGTTATACATAAATACTCTGCATTTTATGAGGACTTGGACACCTGCAGACTTTTGTATGGGGTGAGGCAGCCTCTTGGGGAGCACCTAAAAATCATAGATAAGCCAAAAGCTGAGATCAAGTACCTCACCACCATACTTACAAGGCTTTGAGCCAAAGTTTAAAACAAATCCTTCAGGAAATAGACATAAATAAAAAGCTATGACCAAGTATAATTCATCCCAGGGATGCAGAGATGATTCAATATATACAAATCAATAATTATAATACACCATATTAACAGAGCCAAGGACAAAAAACATATGATCATCTCAATAGATGCAGAAAAAGCATTTGACAAAGTCCAACACCCATTCATGACAAAAGCCCTACAGAAAGTTGGAATAAGTGGTCTTTATCCCAATCTGATAAAAGCCATCTATGACAAACCAACAGCCAACATCATACTAGACAAAAACTGAAAGCTTTCATTCTAAAATCAGGAGCAAGACAAGGACGTCCACTATCAGTCTTATTCAATATAGTTCTACAAACACTAGCCAGAATAATTAGACAAGAGAAAAGGAAGAAAAGAAGTTAAATTATCATTATTTGTGGACAAAACAATACTTTACATAGAAGACTCCAAAAAGTCCACCAAAAGACCTCTAGATTTAATAACCAAATTCATTAGTACAGCCAGATACAAAGCCCCAAAATCAACAGCCTTCCTGTACTGAAATAGCAAACTGAGAAGTTAGGGAAACAACACCTTTCACAATAGCATCCAAAAAAATGAAATATTTAGGAATTTATATAAGGAAGTAAAAACTTTTACATTGAGAACCTCAGTACCCCCCCAAAAAAAATCCAAGAGAATATCAGAAAATGGGAAGATAGTCCTTGTTCTTGGGTAGGAAAATCTAATATAGTAAAAATGGCCATACTTCCAAAATGTTATACAGATTCAAAGCAATCACAGTCAAAATACCAATAGTGTACCTCACAGAATTAGAGCAATTCTAAAATTCATTTGGAACCAGAAGAGACCTAAAATAGCAAAAGCAATTCTAAGCGTCAAAGGCAAGGAAGGGGGCATCACAATTTCTGACTTGAAATTATATTATAGAGCTGCTGTGATAAAAACCCCATGGTACTGGCAAAGAAGAAACCAACAAACAAAAAAACCAAAAAACAAAACCAGAGCTCAAGATCAATGCAGCAGATTAGAAGATGAAGAACTCTAAACACAGGTGTCTTATCTTTGAAAAAGGGCCAAACATCTTCACAGAAAGTCTCTTTAATAAATGGTGTTGGAAGAGCTAGCTTTCCATATGCTGAAGATTAAAACTAGACCAATATATTTCACCATGCACTAAACTAAAATTATAATGGACAAAAACTCTAAATATTAAAACAAAGACACTAAGTTTGTTGGAAGACAGAATAGGAAGAACTCTTGAAGACACTGGTGTAGGCAAAGACTTCACAAGAAAACCCCAATCGCACAGGAATTATCACAGAAACAACTGGCATCTCATCTTATTAAAAAACTTCTGCACAGCAAGAAAAATCACCAACACAGTGAAGAGACAACCCAGAGTGGGAAAACTTTTTGCCAGATGTTCCTCAAAGCACTAATATCTAGAATATATAAAGAACTCAAAAACATCAGATCCCCCCCAAATTTAAAGACCCAGTCCAAAAATAGGCATCTGAAATGAATAGACATTTCTCAGATGAAGTAGAAACAGCAAATAAATATATGAAAAAATGTTCAACATCATTGGTCATCTGAGAGATGCAAATTAACATTGAGATTCCATCTCACTCCAGGAATAATGGCTATTCTCAAGAAATCAACCAATAAATGCTATGGAGAAAAAGGAACCCTTCTTCACTGTTGGTGGGAGTGCAGACTGGTGTAACCACTGCAGAAATTAGTAAGGAGATACCTCAAAAAACTAGGATTAGAGGTCCCATTTGACCCAGCTATTCCCCTTTGAATCTTCGCAAAAGAACTAAAAGTGTTACATATGCAAATACCGAATAGTTTCTCTGGCGCGGAAAAACTAAAATAGTACTCAAGATCCTAACGCGACAATTAGCAACCTGAAATAGGAAGAAAAGGACCAAAGGTGTAGGCACAGTGAGAAGGACAGGGAAAGGGGAACAAGGGAAAAGGAAAAAAATATGAGAAAATGTAAAAATGGAATTAAAGTGTTTGAAGGTGGGGAGGGAGGGAGGGGAGGAGGGGATGTAACTGTACTGTCTACCTAGAATGTACCAATAAATTCAATTTAAAAGGAAAAAAAAAGATTTAAGTGTTGTACCACAGTGATATATGTACAACCATCTTTACAGTGTCACAGTCTGCTAAATCGCAGAAACAGCCATCAACCAATGAACAGTTAAAATGTGTACTGGGTATTGGAAAATGGTAAGGAAATGTTCAAATGGGAAGGGGAACAGAAGGGGGAAGGGGAAAGGAAGGAAGGGACAAGGAAAAAATGGAAAAGATAAATAATAAAAAGCTGCTTATGGCTGGGAAAGAGGTGAAGGACGGGTCAGTACAGTGCGCATGCACGCACGCACGCATGCACGCACACGGTCTGGGTTCAATCCCAGTATAGGGTGAGGGGAGAGAAAGAGAGAAAGCCTGCAGAAGACTATCCCAGAGCCAGCCCAAGGAATTTCTTGTCCCCTTTGGGCTGCCCTCTGCACTGCACTACCTGGCCAGCAGCAGCCCAGACGCCAGTCAGGCGAAAGGCTGTAACTTTCTAGCTTCTGGCCCTACTAGAGGTCCAAGGCTGCGTCTCCGTGACGCTGAGGCCTGTGTCCCTTCTCGCCGTCCCTCTCCTCATTCATTCCAGCCTTGCTGGTGCCCCTTTTACCCAAGACCCCCGGTGGTCCCTACACCCCGGGTGCCCACCACTGCTCGCCCTGTCAGTTGCCCTCTGCGGCAGCAAGATGTCGCCAACTGTCGCGCCTAGAACTGCCCCTCCTCGGCACCCTCCGGAACCTGACGACCAGTTCTCTGAGGGCATGGAGCTCCTCCAGGGTCACCAGTCCCTGCGGGGGGCAAAACTGCATTTCCACCGGGTCCTCTGAAAGCAACGCTGCACCCCAAAATCCTGGCTCCCCCGGCCTGCACGGGGGTCTCCTTGTGGAGCAGCAGGGAGTGAGGGCCCTGGGGCCACGCTGTGTGAGGGGCTACCGATTTCCTCCGAGCCAGAGCGAGGAGCCAACCCGACTTCTGAGGCAGAGGAAGGGGCGAAGGAGACCGGGCACCCCTGCGCCCCTGCTCTAGGCCCGCTCTGTGGGGGCGCAGAGCAAGCTGGCTCAGCTCAGCCCAGCCGCAGCACCAGCTGGCGAGCTCGCCAGATCTTTCTCTACCCCCACACCACCTCCTCCTCTCACCTAAAACGGGAGGAGAGGGGGAGGAAACACCGCTTTTTCCTCCTGGGCTGAATTTATCCCGACCGCATGCAGACCGGCTGCGGAAGCCAGGGAGAAGATAAACAAAGAAGTCTTCTTAAATTTTTTCAAATATCTCCTGGTGTTCCTCTGCCCACTCCGTTTCTACCTACCTTGCTGGGGGAGGAACTCGGCCGGCTCTTGGCGCTCTGCACGGTCGCACCCCAGCGGCTTTATACAGGCAGAGAGAGACTGGGCTCAGGTGTGGGACAGAGCTTCGACAGGTGCCGGGCATTTTCCACCGTTCTTGCCTTTGCCTTGGCCGCTCGCTGTTTTCAGCCACTGTGCTCTTTGAAACTTTCTTCAGAGCAGTGGCTCATCTGACTTAGCCTCTCTCCCCCTCTGTCTTTGAAGGAGAGATTTTATAGATCACAACAGCCTGAAAAGGACAGTGAGGAGAGAAAGGACTGGACATCCACCAAGTAGACTATCAAGCTTGGGCCCAGAGACAGGCTGGAGGGGCAGGAAAGGAAGCCCTGGCTGGGTCAGGGTGGGCCCTTGTCCAGCCTTCCTTCCAGCCGCTGAAGATAAAAGTGCTAACAGATGTTTCCCTTCTAGAAAGTGGAAGGACCGGCAGCAGGATCCAAATGGAGCACCTGGTCCCGGGCACAGGCAGGCGTGGGGCTTGGCTGATCAGGTGCGCTGGGACTTGAGTGAGAGGCAGAGCAGGTGGGGTAGGAGCAGGAGGGACCATTGTGGCAGAGGGGTGCGGGGTGGACCCTGTTACCAAGCGGGGACCATGGGTCCTCAACGCACAGTGGACACCGCAGAGTCCCCACAGCACAGCACTTCCGGTGTGACTTTTACCGGCCTGGCTGTGGCATGACCCTCAGGCTTCTTTTTGTCCCCGCTGGCTCTCCAGCCCTCCCTGGGATTCTGAGCCTTGTCACACAGCCATTCATCACACACACCTCTGCCTTGGTCAGCCCCGATTGGTTTCTGCTGCTTACCACCGACAGCTTCAACCGATTTTCCAGAGCCCGGGCCTCTTGACTGCAGAGACGTCTGCCTTCCTTCTTTCCAAATGTTTTGTGCCTCCCCAAGGCCAGAGTAGACCCACTACACTCAGAACAACCGAGCACCTCACCTGTCAAATAAAAGGTTAGAATGTGTGAGTCTTGGGTTCAATACCCAGCACTGAAAAAAAAAATAATTTTTCAAAAAGGGATCCAGCATGGGCCCTGCCTCCTTACCCCGGCAGCAGGGCTTCCTCTACTAGTGGGGCTTCTTCCGCAAGCAGGGTAGACCAAGCTCTAAGGCGTCGTGTGGGCAGCTGACTTCTGAAACAAGGTCACCAATCAGGATAAAGCTGAATTTCATGGGAAACCCCCAAGCAAACCTCCTGCATGCCTTCTGACACGTCTGATTGAATCCCAAGTGCTCTCGTTTGATGGCTACTTCTAAATGGGGTTTTCCTTCCTGAAGGAAAGAGCCTCTCTGGCCTTGGGACCCACATCACCATATCACAATGGCCGATAATCATCACAGTCCCTCTGCAACCACAAATCAAAACGCACTTGTCTTTTGTGTTGATGGTTTTTCTCTCCGCCCTGCCTTTTAGTGCCTGCTTAAACCCAGCTGGGTGGGCCAAAGCATCCCTCTGGGACTTGAAATTACTTGTTTGCTTCTGCTTTGCAGAGTCAGAACCCAGGATTCCTTAGTCCTTGGGAGACTAGTCACATAGGGAGACGAAACGCAAGAGGTTTCTTACCTCCCCCAGATCTGTGGGAGGAAGTTGTGGAGGGACTCAGGGCTCTGCTGGAATTAAGACCTCAGTGACTGCTTCTGAACATCTCCAGCCTCAGGATGAAACTGTGCTGCTCCTAAACCAGAAGCCTTGAGCAGACAGAAGCTGATTTTCTGATTATTAATCTTTTAAGCCCTTGTCATTCACCCACAGAAGGAGGGCCCTAAGATCAGTGGAATGTGAGGGATCCAGGAGCACCCAGCGTCCTGTGGTCCCCGAGCCCACCTTCCTGATGACATCCCGAGGTGTCACCCTTCCACAGATCTGACTAGCTGTAGAACGTGTTATTTCCGTGTTCCCAGGATGCATCTGAGTTAACTCTGCTGCTAATTGGGTTTGTATCTGGCAGTGGTGACATCAAAAAAAGGTTTTGTAGTCAATTATGTTCTCCTGGAACACACAGGAAAGGGTTGTCCTGTCATTGCTGAAGTGGTTTCTACCTTAATGAGCTGCCCCAGACAAAGGCACAAAAGGACATTATCGTCCCTGAGTACCTGTCTTTAGTGGCTTCTGTTGAACAAGAGGTGGGCTCCATTTGGCACCCAGAGCTGGCTTTGCTGCACTCTCACGTGAACTGCTTCCCGGGGAGCATTGCTGAATGCAATCATGTGCGTTCAAACTGCTTTTAAAAAAATCATCGCTGTGGAAATGAAACGCACAAATGCTATCCTGTAGCCTAATTGACTGGGTGCTTGCTGTAACTGCACCAAAGCCAGGAAATGGCCCTTTACAAAGCCAGTTCCAGCCCTGGCTGCTCCCTAACCCAGCCACAGGGTGTATACCTGGAAGAGAGAGATGGAATGCTTCAAGCACAGGCTTTTTCTGGTCCAGAATAAATGATTCTTCAAATGTTTTAACATCCTGAATGGGGGGAGAGCGATAGTTACTTCTGTCTTATGGAAAAGATGGTGTTTATAGAAGAATCATGTCACTGGCTGGGGATGGCAGGAAAGGCTGGCAGTCACGGGAAGACAGGCCTTATACTCCCACAACCCCGCGTTGGGTCAACTTCTGCGTTGCTTTAGAACACTGGGGGGTTCCAATGCTCTGCCCTAAGGACCGGGAGGCATTTCCTGCAGGGAATCAGGAAGGCAGGATGAGTTTGCAGTCCCTGCTCAGCAACACTCAGGCCACCAGGGCCTGGGCTTGGCCTAGGCGGAAGTGGGTTCTCTGAGACAGGGCCCTCTGGGCAGTGGGGAGCCACAGTGGGAGTGACTGTCTGAGGAGTGGCTTCCCCAAGGGCAGTGATGGGAGCAGCTGTGGTCAGTCCCTGGCAAGGGACAGGAAGCCATCCGGGGGTGGGAAGCGCCTGCCTGTGCTCTGCTAGCCCAGGGCCTGAGGTTGCCTACATGACCTCGGCTGGAAGCGTCATGCAGTGTGGTCTGGCCACTCCCGCTCTGGGAACTGGAACTGCACATTTCCTGCCTTTCATCTTTGGCATGTTGGGCTGAATATGTCCAAATAAGCAAACCACAGCACCGTCACTGGGGCAAGGGGCAGGGTTGTCCCTGCGGGTGCGGAGACGACTCCCAGAGGACTGTGCCAAGCAGCCTGCAAGGTAACAGAGAAGAGTCGGGCATGTGTTGCACCCGGCACCAACTGCCCACCCCAGGCCACATAAGCCCTTCTGCGGGCGAGGACAGGGACGTTGCTCACCAAGGTGCACAGCCTGTGTGGGGGCATGCGCTGCAGCTGCCAGAGCCAGGTTGCTAATTCTGGGTTCCTCCTGGGTGATGCTGGGAACGAGTCACTGTGGAATTTTATCATTAGCTGGAGAGCGTTGGGTCCACCCTTGATCTCCTGCCAGAGTAGGCTTTTTGCAGACGAGGCTGGCTCTGCAAAGGCAAATTCAGAAAGCATCACTGCAGACTACGGATGCATCAGGCCCATCTAGGGGTTGAAACTGATTTTGAAAAAAAAATACTATATGTCAGAATTTATGTCCCAAAGTGGGAGAACCTTGTGTCATCTCCTTAGGGGTGGCGGGGACAGAGGAAAGGGTCTGTATGTATCCCATCCCAATCCATGGGGAAGGATGACTTTATTAAAGGGTAAGAAAACTCAGAATCACTACACATGGAGATAGGCACAGGTCCTTGTAGGGCACAGCATTGCCTGACTTACTGAATTTTCGCCCTAATCCCAGTTTGCTTCTCTTCTCCAGCAGCCCCCTCCCCCTGGCACATCTCCCCTCACCCTGCTACCAAGGCCCTTGATAGTAGCCAGCTTTCCCTTCAGCCTCTCATCTTGAAGGCTTGGCTCTATTTCACGGGCTGCAATGTTCCGCCCACACAGACTCCCAGGAAGCTCCCTGAATTCTGGCAACAACGTCTCAGTCCCCAAACCTGCTTCCTGGTTCTCCCTTTTGATTTGCCCAACACAATGCCCTTGCACTTACTTTCTTATCTCAGTTCTCTTTCTTCAACCTTCCTAAGCCATATGGGAGAAGGCAGATGATCTGTCTCCATCCCAAGGAGGAACTTCCATCTGCAAAGCATCAAAATTCATATACATGGCCCAAGAGAGAACTGTAGTGTAGGACAAAACAGGATACACAGATAGGGTACAACTGGCAGGGTAGGGATACTCGTCACAGAGCCAGGCACTGAGAACATGTCCTGAAGGGAACCATTCCAATAAGTGACAAGGTCCTCCTTCATAACATGCCACCTAGATTTCAGAAGTGCGATGTCCCAACTCTACCAAGTATTTTTCTCTAGAAAGGGTAAGTCAAAGATCAGTCTCCAGACAATTGCATTTGTAAGAGGCAGAGTTTGTATAGCACTCTGAGCAGTACCAGGCACTTCCATTTTAATCTAGAATTAATGTTAGTGGGTCCGGAACCTGACTGGCTGGGACCTAAGACTGCTGCAACCAAATCTCAAAGCAGGGACTTCTTGCGGTGCACTTATTCCCACTCAAATGTCTCCTTGGAGCCCTCAGGACTGGGAAAGATGGAGAGAGCCAGGTAAGGAGAGAGCCAGGACAGGACTGTTTATCCAGGACAAGAGAGCCTCTCTGGTCATCCTCTGGCCTCTCAGCCCAGTGAGGGTCTCACGCTCAGAATGGTTTCTCTTTTCTGCCTGTGCTCCCTGTGTTTCCAAGAAGGTAGTAAGCAAGAGGATGGGGCTGGAGCTGCGTTGCTGTTTCAAAAGTCCTCAGGATGAAGGTGAAAGGGCCCTGGAATCCTGTCTCCTGCTCTCTGAGCTCAGGATTCCCAGCACCAGCCAACTACCTTTATCTTTCTTGAAATGAGAGGCAAGTAGTATAAAGTTACATTTCAACAAAACAACACTAAATACTTCCGAAAGCAACTTTACAGAAAAAGGCCAATGTGTGCAAAATTGGCACAGCTATTATTCCTTTGACATTTCGCAGAGACCGGGGAGGGCATAAGGCATTGCAAAGAGTTCCATTAAGAGACTGCATACCTGGAACCATATGGAATTTCTCCTGACTACAGCAGGACATGAGCTAGCTAAAGCACACTGTCTCCAATTTTGCAAGAGGACATCTTATGTGGTCTGAATCTTTCCCCTTGCACTGACACCCCTCCAAGTTTCAGTTCTCAAGCCTCTGGTGGCACTCTAACAGCAGAGGAGGACAAATGTACCCCCAAGTGGTCCCTCAAGGGCTCCAAGGAGCCACACACATACAGCACCCCTCTTCTTCCCATCTTGTACTTTAAACATTCATGTGAAGTTTGCATTCATATTTATTTTCACACACACACAAAATAGGCCAGGAACTTGAAGCCTGACCCAGGTTAAAAGCAGGAACACTGTCACAAGGCTAGAACTGGACTTGAGCAAGGCTGAGTAGCCTAGTGGGCAGGCCAGGGGGCACAGGGTTCCCCGAGATGGGGGCCAGATGGTGATTCCTGTCAAAGGCAGGAACATGGCACCAGGAGTTGGGATGTGCCGTGGCCAGGTCTAGAGAGTAATGGGACAGCTCTCAGAAGGGATTTCCCTGACTCGACCTCCTGCCCACTGCAGGCACAGCTGAGCAAAGAGCCAACTTTGGTGGCTCTGCCTACGTTCAGACCATCTATGTCTCTCAGGATCTCAACTCAGAGGATGTATCCGGTTTCCTTGGATTAAAGGCTCCCTCTTCCTTCTCAGCCGTCCTTAGGCCAATGACAGAAGACAGTGAGGAGAGATGGGAGCTGGCTGTGGCTGCCTCATCTGGAGACCAGGAGGGGCTGTGTCCCAGGAAAGCACCCTCTGATCATTTTCTCTGCATCACCACTTGGTTTCTGACTGGAAGTCTTACAACCAAGCAGACATACTTCTGGGTTTACAAGTTGTTATTCTATCACTGCAAGTATTAATCAACATTTGCGTTTTAGTCATAACATAGCTAATGCATAATTTTGTTTGCTTCACAGAAAATTAAATAAAGAATTGGCAGCACATTACATAAATGGTTAAATTGATTAATTCTTTTTCTCCAAGTCTTCATACAAAATTGAACTCCAGACAGACGTACCATGTTTATCCACAGCTCCAGACGTCTCACCCTGCCATGCCTGGGAACTGCTAATGTGCCCAGAATTGTGACAAAACTAAGCCAGACCACTAATGCATCCAGTCAGGGCACACAGAAGGGACTTCAAAGAGTACTGATCATGGTTATATATTATGCTAATGTATTTAAAATCAGTGTGATCAGTGAAATAGTGCTTGAATACAATTCAGTCTTGGCTAGCCAATCTTGTGAAGTCTAGGTAAATAATTATGAGGTTGTCGCCCATATTCAAATTTGTTGTAAGACCCATATAAGAAAAATAGATGGGGGGCTGGGACTTCAGTTCAGTGGAGCTGCACCTACCTCATAAGCACAAGGTCCTGAGTTCAATCCCCAGTACAGAGAGAAGGAAGGCGAGGAGAGGTTGTGGATATAGCTCCACAAGTACAAGGTCTTGAGTTCAATCCCAGTACTGAAGAAAAAAAAAATAAAATAGAGATGGTACAGCGCCATAAATATTTAAGCACATCTGTCCTCTTTTCCACTGAACTGAAGAACCTGAAGTAATTCTATCAGCTGTGCAGTCACATACAAGGCCCATCTTCCTCATCTATAAGCTAAGCAGCCCCCAAACCAAATTACATAGTGTTTGAGAAAATCCTGGAATATCCCAGTCAATGGCAGTATTTACCGAATCTACCCTGCAGGCTGCAGGCTCTGAAGGAAGCTGCTAGTGCCTTTATTATTCCACAGGCCTGGGGACTAAACAAGAGCACGGAGTGCAGAGGCCTCACAAGTATGTTTCACTGTGTATCTGAAAACCTCTACGAATCTTCTTTGTCTTTGCCAGGTTTTACTCAAAGGGATTCGTGTCCCAGCTTCCTAGCTCTTCGATACTTGGCATGTTTTAGCCAAACGGATGTGCAAGTCTCTGTTAGAGCCAGGCTGTGGCAGACGCATGAACACCATCGTCTTAAAGAATAGGAGGAGGTTGCCGTGGTGGGGTTTGTGGGGATCACGGCAGAGAATCACTGCACCCGGTGGCGCGTCCAAGTCGTCAGCACCCACTTCCTCATCACCCAGCAGACGCTGCGCCAGGACCCGAAGTCCTCCCTGTACTGCTTGTGCCAGGCCGACCCAGACCTGGACTCGGACAAGGATGAAACAGGTGCCCATTTAATCAACAGAGACTCTACCTACTTTGGACCTGTGGTGAACTACCCGAGGCACTGAAAGCTGGTTATTAATAAAGTTCTTCCAGAGGGAGCAGAGTTTTACAGTAGCACCTCACTAGTGAAACTTGTAAAGGACAAAATCAGGGAACAAGACAGCAAAACATCACAGGTACCCATGAAGCACTGCCGTGCTGCAGTGCCGGGAGGAAGAGGTCACACAGATGGTGTCCACCATGTCGGACGGCTGGAAGTTTGAGCAGCTGGTCAGCCTCGGCTCTTCATATGAAGACCAGACCGAGCTTCTTTGCATGGTCCCCAAGGAGCTGCGCAGCACCCGTGCGGCACAGCCAGTGAGCCCAGTGAGAAGGCCAAGATTTTATGAGAACGGGGTTCAAGGCTGTGAGGATGGTCATGACAGCTGAAGAGATAATTTACCTTTTCCCAGTATTCAGTGAAGCACCATGTCCAGGAAGCTTGGCTGTGAGAAGAAGCCTGATTTGATTTCTCTAGAGATCTGGGTGTGGATCCTTTTATGCCTTGGAGGTGGGTGGTGAGAGACAGCCCAGCTGTCGGGCAAGCCGTGCCCATGGGGTGGAGGTGTGGGGGGCTGGGGGGCTGTCTGGAGGCCTGTTCTGTTCTTCCCAAGTGTCATGTGGGACTGAGGCAGGATCTCCCGACCAGCCGTGCAATCCTGCAGGTTATTTCCAGGGCAGGGCTCTCGGTGCTACATACACAGTGTGTGAGAAGTGACCCGGCCTCGTAGGAGAGAAGGGGCAACGGCTGTAACAACTGTGCCGCGCACCGTGGCTTGGGACTAGGTGCCTTCTGCCACCTCCTGGGCACTAGGCTCTCACCTTCAGGTCTGGGAGGCCACTCCTCCTCCAGTGTAACCACTTGGCAGTTCCTTTTGACCTTAGGTAAGGCTTCGACAGAGGCAGCCTCTACACTGCTGCTATCTGGGCACCTGCTCTGAGGCCAGGCCACCTTCCCGGCGAGGTTTCCTCCTGACTTCGTCGGTGGGACAGTCCACGCTTCTCAATTTGCGTTTTCCAGCAAGGGAAGTCTGTAGCCCTTTTGTTAAGTGTGGATCGACTACCTAATGTTTACACTCTTCAGAAATGCCTAAAAGTGTTGCTAGAGTTTGGCTTGGTCTGTTAAACCAGTCAATGAAACAAAAAAATAGGAGGAAAAGAGAGTAGCTGATCCCACTAAAAACCTCCAATACTTTAAAAGTTCTTGTATTGTCTGCTGTACAATAGTCTGAAATTCCCGACAGACTTTTATCTCTGGCAGTGTTTTAGGAGAGCAGATACTGCTCACGGCTTTCTAAGGTGTAGTGACTATAGAGATCCACTGGATCATCTAGGTTTAAGCACATAAGCGATTGGAATGAGCATGAATGCAATTAATTCCACAGGAAAAGAAAAGGAAAATCCCATTGTAAAAATGCATACAAGGGTGAAGAAATGTTTAAGTGACCTCTTTACCAATACAATTATTTCTTTAAGAAAAACCTTTATAAATTAAACATCTCAAATTATCTGCATTTCTGCTGAGATAGATATTTTAAAATACTATATTAGTGTGCTCTTTTCTGAAGTGAATTCTTCATTAATTTTATTTTTGATAATTCCTGTCATAGTGTCAAGAGCAGAACATTCTTAGTCCAAATTAAAACTAATTAAATGTTATTTAGGGAACACAAGTGAATAACAATGTTTAACAGTTAGCACCTCTCAGAATAGAAATCAGGCAGCTGACAAAATGGAAAGGCGTTGACTTCTAAAGCACAGCAAAGACTCAAGCTTGCTTATGTAACTCCCACAAATACAAGCTCCTACACGGTCCGGTCTTGGCACTGCTCCAGTCCTGCAGAAAAATAGAACTGAAAACAAATCTGTTTCTTGAGAGAATGCCAAAGGTAGGAATGTGTTGTAATGTCCAACAAAGCTCCTTAGAGATAATATTTGGACTTCTCTCACACTCTCAAGTCTCTGACCCGCTCCCTCTCCCCTTCTCCTCCCCACCTCTTCTTCCTCCTCTTTCCAATTCTCTCAGTCCCTCCAGACACCAGGCCTGGGCCTCTTCTCTCTCTGCCTCTGGTCATTGTCATTCCATTTGGCCTTGCGGGCTTCCTTAGTTTACTTCAGACTGCTGTTGCCCAGACTCCACCTACTGAAGAAAAGTTCACCTACTCTTTGTTGGCAGAAGAAGGTGGAACTAGGATGCATTAAATTTTACATCAGACTCATTTTTCTTAGTTTATATCTGTTCCAGGGAATGTGAGGAGCCAGCCCAAGAAGAATTTTGCCATCAAAGCATTTCCTGCACTAATCAGGGATAACAGAACGGCAGTGGCCAGGCCTTCACTTCAAGTTGTCTGACAGCCACAGGGACACACACTGGCATGACTCAGCTGGGTCACAATGTGCCCCAGAGGCCATATATCCCACTATTTTTCTCTTTCTAAAAGGAGAGTTTAAGTGGAAACCATGTATATTTTTAAAGTCTATCACAGGTGTCCTTGCTGAAGCAAGGGTGATAGCCACTGCAGAAGGGGCTGGCTGGCATCAGGTGAGCCATGAGGTGGTGGAATCAGAAATATTAAGTGGGATCAGAAATATCTATTCCTGTTGTGGTCAGCTCTGCTACCACAGACCTCAGTGTGCGTGGCCACAACACAAGTCACACCAGCCCACTGCATCGCTGTGAGAATAAATGGAGATGACAGGATTCTCCACAAGTGGTGATTTCCTCCCTCCCATCAGTTTCAGGGGGGAAAAAGAGAGTACAGCTGGACATGGCCAAGCCATGAGTGCGATTCAGCAATGACAAAGCCAGCAATGACCACAGAACCATTGGCCTGAACTGCCTGACACAGAGGTGGGCTGGAAAATAGAATAAAAAACCTGAGCACGTCAGGCATACAGAGGCCTCAGATGAGGCAGGTCAGCAATGAGACTGGCTGAAGAAGACTGGGGTTTCAGGTGGATTCATCTGTCCCCTTAGTTCCTGGACTGGAACTATGCAGCGGTGAAGCCAGCTTGGACTCTGGCTGACAGCTGTCTCCACTCTCTGGAGCGAGGGCACCGTGCATGCTAGGCAAGCTCTCCACTGAGCTCCACTCCCTTTCTGGACTCTCCTAAGGGGAGGCACTGCTCCAGGCCACCACCACCCTACACATTCCTGGGCAGCTTCCCTTCAGGGAAATAGCCCGCTGTGCTGACTGCCTGCTAGGCGCCTCCTAGAGAGGAGGACTCTGACACAGCAGGTGGTGTGGCTGGGCTGGAGAGCCACCCTCCCCAGAGGGCTCAGCCGCTTGCCAGCACTTTAATAACAGTCTGTTGCCACCTGCTGGCCGCTGGACTGTAGCACTTAGCTCTGCAAACCCACTCCTCGGGCTAAAGAACAAACAGCTTGGTGGCAGGCTGGCTGAGAGCTTTTCCAAAATGACCTTGGGAGGATCCAGAGTTATTCCACTCATCATGCAAACAAGAAGGTGGACTTTTATGAACAGTGACATTTCATTCCTGCTTTATTTAATTAGCCCAATTACAAACGCTTTTGGAGCTATACTGCCTGGCACTAGCAGTGACTGATAGTCATACCTCATTTGTCCCCAAATAACATTGTCCAGTGTCATCTACCCCATTCTTGGATTAAGCCTAACTTTGCTCATTCTTTTATCAGTTGTGATTTACCGAATGCCTCCTACATACCCATCTGTTAGCCAACATCTAGGCAAACAGCAATAAGCAAAAACAGGCATAATCAGCACACTTGCAGGTCTGTAGTCTAATGGGGAGACAGATGATCAGATAATCACATAAATAAACTTCACAGCACACAAAAGTAATGGGACAGTGCAGAAATACAACTGTGATGTGTGCCCTTGTTTCCCACACGCTCATCCCCATCCTTCTTGTCCCTTTCCGAAGCAGATCTAGAAGTCCTCTTTCACGGCTGCCTCCACGTCATGAATGGATTCCGTGGCAGTTTCTGTGCAGTAAAAACCTCAGAGTGTCTTCATCCACCTTACTCCCTGGATCTAGCACTGCGTGACTTGTGGCCCTTCCCCAAAGTCAGCCTGACCAAGATAGGTAAACGTTTCGAATCAATCAGGATATTAAGCCGGCCAACAACAGCACAGCTAAAGGCACTCATGAAAGAGGGAGGACTCCAGAGCTGTTTCGGAAAATGACAAGAGCAAAGGGAGACATGTGTTTGAAATGAGGGGCAATATTTTGAGGGGGATCCATGGCAATGTTGTCTTTTACA